AAAAAAAAAAAAAAAAAAAAACAAAAAACAAAAACAAAAAAAGAAAGAAAAAAAAAGAAAAGAACAACAACGAAAGAAAAAAGTCTAGGTTGAGGCTAATAGGTGTCCAGGAGAGCATTCAACACCCTGAGTGGGCTAAAGCATAAAAATACAAAATGATTACCCAACTCCGAATGATGGATAACCTATCTGCTCCATCCGTAAAAGAGTACGGAGGCGGAAAAGAGCGTCGTCCGGATGAAAAATGCTCTTCTGAGGAGTGGAGGCACCGATGCAAGCGAAAAGGTCAGTGGGTCGGTTCTCCTCTTGGAAGATGTATGAAATCCGATAGCGAACTGATTGAAGTGTGGATCTGATGCGCATTAGCGTGTGTTGAATATGCCACAAGCCCTTGTGGCCCGCGGTCAAGAGGGTGGCGCCAACGGCAACATCCATCTCTATCCAAATGTGAGAGGAGATAGAGGTTGCAATCTAAAGACCAATCTTAAGATCCTGAACCTCTGCGTCGTAACTCAAGGAGGCCTGAAGAGGGGCGTGAAATTTGGTAATGAGAGCTCGACTGTGATCCCTAATCAGGCCCCTGCCTCCGGCAGCTCCGGTACGTCGGTCAAAAGATTCGTCGGTGTTTAGCTTAACCCAAAGGGATTTGGGTTAAACAACGGCTCTGGGGCGTGGGTGCTAGACAGGCGGCAGTGGAGGTGGTTCGAAGTGGTGGGGCAGCGTGCAACCTATCCAGGCGTTCAAGGCTGTGATCTCCAGGCGCACGACAACTGAAGACCATGTTCGGGTTAGGGTTCATGGTTTCAATCACAAGGCTCAAAACATGGATTTTTAACTTTTTCGATGGTTCAAAACTAACCAACAAGAAATGGTTTTCAAGACTCAATATCAACAACACAAAACCACAAAGCCCAAGGCATCAAATAGGCTAAGGTTCATGGCATAAGAAAGCTTGTTTTCAATCAATGCAAGACATCAAAATCTAAAGGTTTTAAGTGTAAAAATCAAGGCATACAAAAGATTTCCAAACTTCGTAAATTTTTTACATAAACCACATGAATTTCCTCATCATCTTAAAAATATCTAAGCATATACCTTGGAAAAGATTTAATATCATTGCTTAGAAATTTTACCTTCTTCTTGGATCTGAGATTAGAGGAGATGATCAGATCGAAATAGGGTTAAAGCTCGGCACGGGTGCTCCATACGTTCTCGATTGCGCATGACCTCGTATCAGTTGTTCTCTCTTGGATCTCCTCGGCTAGTGCAGCCACGTGGTCACGTGCTCCTAGGTCTCCTCGACTATGTGCTCGCGTCGAGGCCTCTGGTCTTGTTGCCAGGGAGGTTGATGCTCGGATTAACGCCGGGAAGAAGAAGGCTAAAGGGGGGAGATTTTTTAGGGATGGGGAGAAAACCTTTTAGAGTTCTTTGGGGTTTCTTTTGCTACTCGGAAAAGCTAGAGTCAGTTTTGCTTAATTTGAAGGAGAATAAACATTCTAAGACTTTGCTTAAAAGGAGAATAAGGTAAGGGTTGATCTTTTTATAGATTTGGGGCCGATTTGATTTGGCCAAGAAAAATGGCAAGGTTAGGGAATGAGATTGCTTACCTTAAATGGCCACAAGAGAGTTTGAATTTTGAATCAAAATTGGTGCAAAAAATCCCATAGCAAAAAGGTTTTCTCTATTGCGAAAAGGCCGAAAATAAAGAGTTACAATGACCTAATTTCTTTGGGAATCTTGGCCGAAAATGATTTTATTTGTGCTTGAGAAAAAAAATGTTAATAAATTGTTTAGTAATTTAAGTAGATGAGGACATCTACCTAATTTAAAGAGCTTATTGGATTTTTAGTCGAGCTAATAAAATAAGAGATATGAAATGCAACCAAAAGAAATGATATGAACTGGTTCTTTTTAATCGAATAGAGCATTAAAGTAACCTTAACCCGACCTCATCTTGGTTGAGGAAGAAAGTATAATAGCTAGGGGGAGGTTTGCAGTAAGAATCTCCAGCTCATGTGATCTTTAGATCCCACGGAGCTCAACCTCGTGAAGGAGGTTGGTGACTAGTCAGCAGATTAAGAGGAAATATGATTAGGTCGCACTGTTGTAACGAGAGGGGTAACACCCTTAGCCTCAGCGCTCACGACCATCGTAACTTGGTTGGTCGCGCCTCGCAGAGCCGGTAGAGTGAGGGTCACCGAAGGATTTTAGAGGCTCTGAGTTCGAAGGAGAAGGGTTGATTGAGTTAGTCATGGAAGGGAGGTGATCTAAGAAATAGAATAAAAAATATTAATAAATAGCAAAGTAGGAGGGAAGAAAATACGAAGAGTAGAAGTGATAGTCGCCCCCAAAGGTTGGCTTTTATAGAGGGATGAAGGTGCTTGGTTACATGCCAGGCGTAGGATTACGAGGACATGTACGAATGTGATAAAGGGAGCTGTATGGATGCAGATGTGAAATGTCGAACGATCAAGGCCGCTTATTTTATATCTGGATCAACAGTGGGTATCGAAGAGTATGGGAGAAGCTTGCTAATCTGACGTTTCCAATGCTCGAGGACATGCACAAAGAGTGGTTATGAGGGAAGATGTGCGAGCACGCGCGGTAGTAATGCATGAGGGAAATAGACATTCTTAGACGAGTTGCCTCTAGCGCGTCCTAAGAATGGGAGGCTAGATGATATGGCAAGAAAATGTGGCTCGGGAAAAAACCAGCCGCTTAGTAGCTCGGCCTCAAAATACCTGGGACATGCTATTCAAAGGATAGGTCAGTCCTCTCTAATGGTACCTAAGGTCGTCCTGTAAGTGCTGGAAATAGGTCTGGTTTGTATGTTAGTTCGAAGCTGAATAAGGATTCCTTAGGAGTTCCTAGGTGGGCCTTCATGGTGCGGTGTTGGAGGAGCTGGCCCCGATTCTTTTCAATATAAGGTGACGACCTTGAAAGAGCTCGTAATGGTAATACAAGATTGACCTGTAAAGACCGAAAGAACATGTTGAGGGTTGGTGTATTTGTGGGAGCTTTTAGCCTGGCCTATGGGAGGATCATGATGAGATAGGCCGACGATAGTCGGGGTAGCATGACGAACATGATGCACTGGTGGGCGCAAGGCCTTGAGGATGCAAAAGCGATATCGGATTTGAGTTGTGCAGAGGAGGAAAACTGAATCCCTTAAAAATAGGAAGTGTGTATCACCAAGGAGACTGAAGAGACATGGGATTCAACGAGTTAAAAAGGAAGGTATAAAAAGAGTTCTTACCACATTCGGAGTCTGGGATACCCTCAGTAACCTAACTATAAAAACGGGATACATGTTCTTTATTTCACACAATACACGCATACACGCTCAAAATACATTATCATCACATTACTGTTGTACGTGAGCTGACTTGGGCGTCAGAGTTCTTTCCGTCATGACCGTTCTAGCATTTTGTTAGTCATCGATAACGTCAAGAGGTTAAATTCACGGATTGTGACTACAAACCGGATCAGAGGACACTTTGCTTAACAGTAACTTAAAAATTATATTATCAACCATCAACAAAATAGGTTAATGGGTTAGTTGAATTAGTGGATTGGTGTAGAATAGTATTATTATTATTATTATTATTATTATTATTATTATTATTATTATTATTATTATTATTATTATTATTATTATTATTATTATTATTATTATTATTATCTTGGAGAATAAGTTAGGAATTAAATATTAGAGATCTTGTCTTGTTGGACAAGTTAAGAATAATGTTTAGGAGTCTTATTTAAAGGGCTCCCCCATCTATTGTTTTAGGCGGTTGAATATTGCATGAAATAAGAAATCGTGCTTTCTTTTGGGAGAGTATCCCGTGTTCTGGAGAGAGTATCTCCTTGTATCTTTTATCTTCCCGTTCGTTCACGCTTTCGCTACATCATGGATGGACTTTGATAAAATTAAAAAAGTTATATCATGCCCATTAACATTTTGCCAGCTGAACCCACCTTAAATATACATTTGCATAAAAAAAAAAAAGAAAAAAAAAAAAAGAAAAAGCCAATCACCACTACATATCCTCATCTCAATAGTCTATATTTATATCTCAAAGTCCTTTTCAATGCTCACAAAAATCAATGTAGCTTGCCAATGACAACTGAACATGCAACACACAAAATGGAAAGCAGAACGGAAAACCAAAAACCAATGGGCCACTTACACAAAATGACGAAAAGAACCCCTGTCCTCGTTCCATTTAGCACTCGTAAAAATTTAATTATAAAAAAAAGATAAAATAAAAAAAACAGAGTTCATAATGGCAAATCCAGCAAAAGCACTGGCGTGATTTTTTGACCCTTTGCCAGCGCGTGAAGACGACGGTGTAGAAGATTTGACCCTTTGCCAGCGCGTGAAGAAGAAGAAGAAGAAGAAGGTTTTGACGATGGAGCTGCGGCCAGTGAGGAGTTGTACTGTAAGGTACAACCACTCCTCAAATTGGTCTCTTCTTCATCCATGAAAATCTGACTCTGCCTGCACTCATCGCTGCATAATGCCTCTTCTCCTCTGCCCACCACATTTTTATACATACAAAATAAATAAATAAATTCAGACAAATCTTTTATCAACAATAGTTTAAAATGTTGGATTATTGAAACCCACTTAATTAAATTAAAATTTACTGTACTAATTTTGAAATAGTAACAAAAATGGAATGGGTGTTGATATTTACCGCCCCCCTTTTCGATTATTACCGCCCCCTAAAAGTCGTTTTTGCCCTTTTTAATAAAAAAAAAAAATATATTCATTATTCACTTTACACATTTTTTCTCCCGGTTCCGGACTTCGAAACAATCCGAAAAAAATTCCGACCTACTCCGGCGACGACGATGGCGGCGAGTAAGGTATTTTT